TAGCGTAACACACCCGCTTTAAGGACACTGACTGCTATTCAATCTATAACAGTGAAAAAAGTGTTTTTGTTTTTTTTTTAAATACAAGTTTTGTGTCACCAGATCTAAGTGGTGGCAATGGTCACCGTATCCACTGTTAGCGTAACACACCCGCTTTAAGGACACTGACTGCTATTCAATCTATAACAGTGAAAAAAGTGTTTTTTGTTTTTAAATCCAAGCTTTGTGACACCAGATCTAAGTGGTGGCAATGGTCACCGTATCCACTGTTAGCGTAACACACCGGCTTTAAGGACACTGACTGCTATTCAATCTATAACAGTGAAAAAAGTGTTTTTTGTTTTTAAATACAAGCTTTGTGTCACCAGATCTAAGTGGTGGCAATGGTCACCGTATCCACTGTTAGCGTAACACACCGCTTTAAGGACACTGACTGCTATTCAATCTATAACAGTGAAAAAAGTGTTTTGTTTTTTTAAATCCAAGCTTTGTGTCACCAGATCTAATTGGTGGCACTGGTCACCGTATCCACTGTTAGCGTAACACACCAGCTTTAAGGACACTGACTGCTATTCAATCTATAACAGTGAAAAAAGATTATTTTTTTTTAAATCCAAACTATTGTGACACCAGATCCAATTAGTGGCACTGGTCAGCGTATCCACTGTTAGCGTAACACACCCGCTTTAAGGACACTGACTGCTATTCAATCTATAACAGTGAAAAAAGATTATTTTTTTTTAAATCAAACTATTGTGACACCAGATCTAATTAGTGGCACTGGTCAGCGTATCCACTGTTAGCGTAACACACCCGCTTTAAGGACACTGACTGCTATTCAATCTATAACAGTGAAAAAAGTGGTTGTTTTTTTTTTAAATCAAGCTTTGTGTCACCAGATCTAAGTGGTGGCAATGGTCACCGTATCCACTGTTAGCGTAACACACCCGCTTTAAGGACACTGACTGCTATTCAATCTATAACAGTGAAAAAAGTGTTGTTGTTTTTTTAAATACAAGCTTTGTGTCACCAGATCTAAGTGGTGGCAATGGTCACCGTATCCACTGTTAGCGTAACACACCCGCTTTAAGGACACTGACTGCTATTCAATCTATAACAGTGAAAAAAGTGTTTTTGTTTTTAAATCCAAGCTATTGTGACACCAGATGTAATTGGTGGCACTGACTGGGGAAATGGGCACAGTATGCACTGTGAGCCTGACACAGAAGCTGGCAGCAGTGGCAGACAACTGACTGCTATTCAATCTATAACAGTGAAAAAGTTTTTTGTTTTTAAATTCAAGCTATTGTGACACCAGATGTAATTGGTGGCACTGACTGGGGAAATGGGCACAGTATGCACTGTGAGCCTGACACAGAAGCTGGCAACAGTGGCAGACAACTGACTGCTATTCAATCTATAACAGTGAAAAAAGTTTTTTGTTTTTAAATCCAAGCTATTGGATGTAAGTGGTGGCACTGACTGGGGAAATGGGCACAGTATGCACTGTGAGCCTGACACAGAAGCTGGCAGCAGTGGCAGACAACTAAGTGCAATTACATTACATAGAAAAAATAAATAAAAAAAAAGCATACCCTAACCCTAACCTAGCTATACTTTTCCCTATCTTATGAACAGCAGCTACACTTTCCCTCCTCTTACTAAGCATGCAGCTTGAGAATGAATCTAAAATGGATGCTGTCCAGTAGGTGGGAGGGTCTGCTAGGGAGGCTGTGCTGCTAATTGGCTGGAATGTGTCTGCTGACTGTGAGGTACAGGGTCAAAGTTTACTCAATGATGACGAATAGGGGGCGGGTCGAACCGCGCATATGTTTGCCTGCCGTGGCGAACGCGAACATGCTATGTTCGCCAGGAACCGTTCGCCGGCGAACCGTTCGGTACATCACTATTGAACAGTACTGACTGGCATTTTTCAAGGCTTTGGATATCTTTTTATATCCTTTTCCATCTTTATAAATTTCCATTACACAGGCACTAATTGCAATTTATAAAGCAACAGGTGTGGGAAATAAACCTTTAATTGCCATTTTAACCTATGTGTCCCCCCTTATGTGTCTGTATCAAGGCCAAACATTCAAAGGTATGTAAACTTTTGATCAAGGCCATTTGGGTGATTTCTGTTATCATTAGGATTTAAAATGGAGCCAAACAACTATGTGATAATAAATGGCTTCATATGATCACTATCCTTCAATACAATATATATTTTTAAGTATGATCCGTCATATTTTCAAAATCAATGATAAAATTTAACTTTTGAGCAAAACTGTATATTTATTTATTTATATGAAAATAAAATAGTGACAATAATTTTGTGCTATTAAGGACTTCAATCTTGAAGGCTGTAAAGAATTTGTCCCTCTTTGTAAAATGTGTATCTTATCTCACATAAGAGGCTGCTGGCAAGATGCAGTTGTATTATTCTAGCACCAGCTGGCAATTAATAGAGCAGTGAAATCTTCATAGCCCCGAGCAAGGAGATAAGAAGGATTGCCTTCCTACACACAAGTAGTGATGTTGCGAACCCGAAATTTTCGGTTCGCGAATGGCGAATGCGAACTTCCGCAAATGTTCGCGAACCGGCGAACCGGGCGAACCGCCATAGACTTCAATGGGCAGGCGAATTTTAAAACACACAGGGACTCTTTCTGGCCACAATAGTGATGGAAAAGTTGTTTCAAGGGGACTAACACCTGGACTGTGGCATGCCGGAGGGGGATGCATTTCACAACTCCCATGGAAAAATTACACAGTTGATGCAGAGTCTGGTCTTAATCCATAAAGGGCATAAATCACCTAACATTCCTAAATCACAATGGATATGGATTGACACCTGACATATGACATATTGACACCTTGACATATGGATTGACACCTGTCCTCAGAGACCTTGATACACACTGACACAGAGCAGAATAGAGACTGTTCCTCCTACATAGGGTCACTTGGCAGATATGGATTGACACCTGTCCTCAAAGATCATGATACACACTGACACAGAGCAGAATAGAGACTGTTCCCCCTACACAGGGTCACTTGGCAGATATGGATTGACACCTGTCCTCAGAGCCCCTGATAC